GTTCAGCGCCGCTGGATCACCGATTTCCCGCGGGTCGACCACCGCGTTTCACGGCGCGGCGCTGGAAACACGGCCAGCCACGGAAAGTCCAAGTCCAAGCAAATATATGATCGCGATCCGCATCAACGATCTCGCTCGACTTGAACGAGCCGAAGGAGCCGGCGAGAGGAACTTCAGCCTTTGCATTAAAGGCGCGTTGTGCTCCGCCGTCGAGCGTGATCGTGGCTTATCGTCCTTCCGAGAACGTTTGTTGTCTCTCGTCGGATATGATAATGCGTAACGTTAGCGCGCGATTGCGTAATCAAGACGGATTGATGCGACAATTCTGGCCGGGGATGGTGCTCTCGCTCGTGAAATAACCACCGCCGGCTGAAACCGAGGCAGATTTCTGCCGGGGCGCGACTACGCGCCCCGCGGATTACTTAAGGCCCCAATTTCGGGACGCTGTTCGCCCGGGGTTAACAGCTCTTCGAGCTCGCTCCTCTGCGGCCGTACGCCACAGCGAGGGTTAATGAGGCGCGGTGAATGTACGCGAAAGCGATCGATGCCGCGGCGCGCTATCGTTATCGCCGCTATGATCCCGCCGCCACGGCGACACGCACTCTAAGGCGATAACAGACTTTTCGCGTAATTCATAATTAATCGGATTAATGAGAGAGAGAGAGAGAGAGAGCGCATGTTAATTGGCCGCGGCGAGGCCGCTTTCGACTGACCACTTTTCCCCTTTGCTTCTCCCTTTGCCCGTCCCGACCGCATGCCCTTATAAAGCCGGATATATGACCGTCGTGTGTACGTCGTCGGGATGACGTCGCGCCGGCGGGTGGAGTCAATTTGTTGCGTGACGCCAATTTTGCGAGCTGCGCGATTAATCGCGCGGGGCGGTTCGCGCCTCGTATTATCGGCTCCGCGTATCACGCGTCGCCGACGTTAAACATAATGTTAAGTCCGCTTAGCGGGGGATCGCTCCTCTTCGGAGCTCGTAATGGACATGGGATTTGGCCCCGCGCTCTCTCGTTCCTCACGCCGAAACGCGCGACTGTGTTTTGTATATTCGGCCTCTCATAAAAGTTAATTGCTTCCGACGAGCGCACTCCGTTATTTCGAATTCGGTGATATTTGGACGCGCTTTACCCTCGCCAGAGACCGTGACGACGATCTTCAACGGAGAAGGAGGGAGGATACTTGTTTCTTTTTCCACTCCTCTCTTCTCCAAAAATGTGCTCACCGCGTACTACTAACTGTCGATCGACCACGGTCTCGCGATGATACGCGCGCTGCGAAATTCAGACAGAAACGCTGTTAACGCAGTCTGTTAACAGCGGTCGGCTCGCGCGTCGCTCGTCGTCGAAAAGGGGAAAAAATAACGGTGAGGCGAGCAAACCGATATTGTAACTGACCCCCTTTCCGATAAAGGTCGCTGTGCGCGAGCCCTGCAGACAGCGCAGCGCGTACGTGTTATCGTGGTACCGCGAAGCGAACCCGCGTATCCATAACGGATACCGATGCTGACGGTGATGCGCGTCAAGATCTGTCATTCGCAAGCCGAATAAAAGCACGTCGCGCGCAGCCCAGATCGGAGTGCATCCCGGCGCATTCGCCAGGACGCGTCGCGTCGAAACGAGGATTGATACGTAACATCAGTCCGCGATTTCGTCGTGCGCGCGCTCGCGCTCGCCTCGGGGTCATGAGGCACGACGGTAAGACGATAATAGAATTTTCATGTAATCCTCAGTAATTCCCTTGCGGTCGCGCACACGAGTCCACGACGGTGGAGCTCCCTTGACGATGGACCCCCTCGCTCTTGGGACATATAAGCGGCGAATGCCCGAGTTGCCCCCTTCTAACTCTCTGTGTCTCTCTCTCTCTCTCTCTCTCCCTCTCCTCCGCGCATTTTCTCTTTTCCGCTCTCCCTCTCTTCCGTTCTCTCTCTCTCTCTCTCTCTCTCTCTCTCTCTCTCTCTCTCTCTCTCTCTCTCTCTCTCTCTCTCTCTCTCTTTCTCTGGGCGCTCTTTGAACTCGCTTTCAAACCCCCTCCAGGGTTAATTGCCCGATTGTTTTGACGCGCGAGTTATCCGCAAAGGACGTGCGCGGCTGACCGCGGTTGTTCGCGCGCGAGTTTCAGCCACTACGACCGCCTCTCTTCGCGAGAGAGAGAGAGAGAGAGAGAGAGAGAGAGAGAGAGAGAGAGAGAGAGAGAGAGAGAGAGAGAGAGAGACTCGAATTACCTCGCCCGCTCGCCGCTACGCGAGATCGCGTGAAAGCACGAGAGAGGGGAAGATCCTCGCTCGCTCGCGTATTTGCGCTCGCATTTCTCGTCTCGAGGATTTTCCCAAGATTTTGTAATCTTATTTCACCGAGCTCGGCTTGCGCGGCATTCAGAGATATTCCCTCGCGATCGCTTGTATCGCTCGGAAGCAGCCGCCCGCGCTGCGACGTTTTCATTAACGGAAAATCACTTTTCGATCGACCCAAAGGCCCGTGATTGAAGTTAATGTCCGCCGGGCCCGGAACAGCTCGCGCGGCCCGGCGCGCATCGCGCCGAAAACGGTGGCATATTTCGCGAATTATTCAGTGGATTATTATTTCGCAACGCGGCGTGTAAGCGGATTTATTAGTACATTTAATATGTCTACCAAACTCATCAGCTCGTCATGATGGCGTATCGTCGTCGTGATACACAGTGTCGGTGTCATACCGCGGCGCGTACGTGTGTGTTTGCAAAAGCGGCCGGTATTTACGCAATGCAATTCTCTACGTTGTTTTAATTAATGCGTCTCGTCCGCTTTGACGCACTGCGGGGAAGCACTGCTCCTCCCGTGGCCCTCCCCTCCCCGTTCCTCTGCCTCTCACTCTCGCCCTCCCCCTCTGCTTCTCTCTCGGCCAATAAAATCATGCATGTTAAGTTATTTTCGGTTTATGTCGTAGTAATGAATTAAAACCCAACCCGAGAGCCGGACGATGCGGTCTTTTACGCAGTTCCGTGTCGCGTCTGCGGAAGAAGCATTACGATCGCTGGTGCATTAATTTACTCGCGTCATAACGTTAATGTAAGGCATTAAATTATCGCGCATTTAACGTGCGGCTTTACCGCGATATTAGCGCCGGACGATGAATTATTGTCAATAACGCATGAAATTATCGTTCGCCTTCTATGCCTCCATCTTTTAATTCGTGAATATCACTCGAACGCGTTTCCTGCGCATCTCTCTCTCTCTCTCTCTCTCTCTCTTGTTTCACTTCATCTCGTGCCGTGCCGTGAGCGTCAACTGGCATCCGACGGAGGAACCCTGCTCCACCCTCTAATCGTTCGTTAAAAATGAAATAAGGATTTCTAAGACCAGCCCTCGCGCGCGCGCGCTCGCAGCCGCTACTCAACTGCGAGCACTTCCGCTCTTATTTTCTCAACGTTCCCCGTGAGAAAAATCAAACCTAGCGGAGAAACGCGTGCGCGCGATCGCGCGAAGAGACGTACGTCGACCTGTGTTTAGCTCACGGGCCGAGATAATAAACCGAATCGATCCCCTCCGTTGAAGTCGTGAGAGAGCCGAGCTCAACGCAGGGAGAGACTCGTGATTTCTGACTTCACGTGCTGCTGTTCTCACCGTGCTCTCCTCCATCGCTCTCTCTCTCTCTCTCTCTCTCTCTCTCTCTCTCTCTCTCTCTCTCTCTCTCTCTCTCTCTCTCTCTCTCTCTCTCTCTCTCTCTCTCTCGCGGCAATCTGTACACCAGCGCCGCGGCGAGGGTTGCTCTTCCGGCGACCTCTCGTCGCGCGTCTCCTCGACGTGTCGGAAAAACGCACGGACGCGCCGCGTACGCGTGCACATACGGACGCACGGCTGCGCACGAGGACACGTAGTATGTCCGGCTGCAAGTCCGCGCGTCGGTGCAGTTGAGCGCGGATATAGACAGGGATGCAAGTGCCGGCGAGTAACGACCTTGGTGCGGCTCGTGCCGCGCCGTTCTTATAATGTTTTTCCAGAATAAATGGGCTTTCCGCTGGGCGCGGCGGTGGCGGTCGGTTCCATGGGGTTCACCGTAACCATGGCAACCCCGTAACGCCATTAAGCGGGCACGGGGTTTCTCCTCTCTCACCCCCGCCAGAGAGGGGTATCTCCGGCAGGAGCCAGGCGGGAGACGAGAGAAGACCGTAACGCCGCCGCCGCCCTCGTCCGCGTTCGACTATCCGAACTCGTTCCTCTCCTCGTCCTCGCTCCTCGAGTCCTGGAGGACCGCGTGGCGCGGCCTAGGGTGGGAAACCCCCATAAAAATAAATAACTCGCGAGCAGTAGGAGTATAAAGGTGATACGCGCCTGCTGCCGCTCGCCGCTCTCCTCGCTCCTCCCTTCGTATTCGCGGCCGACTGTCCACCTAAAATACTATACGCTCTGGCAGGTCGAACAACGCGCTACGTTCAATCGCGCTATCGGCCGTGAAATACGCGCGATGCTACATGGAGTCAATTTGGGGGTGATGGTGACGTTGGGGATTTTGACAACGACGACGCCAATGAATGAGTTGTAAAGTAGTTAATTGCGATAACTTGAATTTCGCGGTCGTTTGAGACGATTAGGTAGTCACGCTCTGCGCGGGGTTAGTTTTATCGAATAGTTTTGTAATTTGAATTGAGGTCTGTTTTAAGAAAGATGTTGTTTCCTTCGTTACTTCCTTCGCGGCAACGCAAATTGGCTGTCTCGGTCTCGATCGTGAGTCGATCTCCTTGTTTGCTTCGACGGTTACCGCGAGTGCTGTCATATCGCAGGGAAATTATGTATTTCAGTGTTGAAATGTCGCGAAAGAGAATTTCAATGGTGTGAAATAATGTATGAAGTTAATATCACGGGCGTTCAGCGTAACCGTCGCCTCTTGTTATCATTTATTTCAGGCAAAAGTACAATCTCGTTCCTTTAATCAGCAAAATATCACGTATGTTGTCTATATATTTTTACGATACGATTGAACGTTGACGTTTTAACTGACCGCAGAACTTGTTTTTGGTTTCAGATCTGCCGAAGCTGGCCACACACTGGATACGGTTCCCGGGAGATGCAGTTCCGATGGATGCGGATGCCGCACTGGAGGATCCGGTTCGGGCCGAGCAGAGTCGGCTCGAAGGTAAGTTTATCCTAATTCTTGCACTTGATTCTTTGTGATCGAAAACTGGCACCATAGTTTCCGAAATCGTTGATTTTTTCCAACGATCGCAAGGGAATTCTTGTCGAACGTCTGACCATCTAATCGATGTCATATTTTCCTTTGTTTCCAGAACCGCAGTAGAACGTGGCCGATTCTGAGCTCCTGGTATTTCGGTGAGTCAAGGAAAAAAAGATTTAAGGTGATGGGTTTTTTTAATTCTTTAAAAAATTGGGGACACATACGAGGAACATTTTTCCTCGTCTGCGCACGATATTTCAATTGCGGCATTTGAAATGCCGCTCTATCCTGCAATTGATATTTTTCATAATGATATTTTCGATAGAAAATATCGCGGTGTCATACGTATTTTCGTATGAAATTTGAACGAACCATTTTGCAACCTCGTATTTCCCTCAATATTACGATTTTTCGGATTCTTTTTTGAATTTCACGATACAAACGAGTATCTGGATAACTTGGAGATTATATTATATTCCGGATTCTCGCATCTCATGCGTGTTCTTGCACACATCGATACGGTCATAACTTCCTTCATATCCTAAAGTTTATGAGGATCGATGCAGCTTCTTCTTCCTTCGTGTGAAGAAGTAACGATGATTTGGTTCACTCTCTCGGCGAATATATAACATTTTCGGAGCAAACGACCGACCGCTTCGCCACGAGGAAACCTCACCCCCGCGCGGCCCGGGCTTCAGTAACGCGATAGTAGTTTTATACGCGTGGCGGATAAACACAAACCGTAGTAACACGAAGCCGACGCGAGTGTACCGTGACTTTTGTTGCTATTCGCGTTCACTCGCTCGCGGCTCGCTGGCGGCTCGCTGGCTGCTCTTATTAAAACTACCTGCTACCGCGTCGTCGCGCAGCGCGTCCCAAGGTCATGTTGGGAATTTACAATTCACCACGGCTTATTCTGCGAATTCGCGCCGTGTTTCGTTTTTCGCGACGAACAGGAGATTCGCGGGGCGAGAGAAGTGAGACAACTTGTCGCAGCTTCGATCGCAACAGAATTTCGCCACAGCTCTTCGAAGTTAGGCTTATATTTTCCAAACATCAGGAGGAGGTCTGTCATAGCGCCGTTTCCGTTCGAGCCGAGCGCGCGAGCGACGCGAGTCCGTTAATCGCGAAGAGATTTTACCGTAATCGCGCAATTTATCTCGAGGTGTTACGACGCTCGTTTGTCGCGACGAGAACACTCTGGACACGCCTAACCGTTTAATTTCGGTCGGCGGCGCACGTTCGATCGGCCCGCGACGAGAAACATTTATTTTTCAAAGAAGGGAAGAGAGAAAGAGTCGCGGTGGGAAGGCAGAAACGGAAGGAAATCGATAGAACAATTACAAAAAAAGTCTCGCCTGCATCGCGAATCACCGCTCAGGGAGCCGGCCGGTGGCCGCGCGCGCACGCGCGTTTTAATCTCGGTTGCGTTTTTTAATCGTGCCTGAATAAAACAACGGATTTGAGCTTTTGCGAAAATTAACCGACACGCGCAAACATTTTTAGAAGCGGGGAGCGTACGGCGCGCTTTTAACCTTTCATAACGTTTTACGATGATAATGGAATGGCTCCGCACTTCGCGTCCGCTTGCATTTGCATTAATAACGCGGAATTATTCGCCTCGGCGAGACATTTTAAGGAATTAGCAATTTATTTTACCTTCGCTCACGTTTCCCCGAAATTTATATATCTTTTCATGTAATTTGCGCAAGTCTATTCCATACCGCGTCAACCTCGCGGACTCGCGATATCGAATAGCGTCGGCGTGTTATTGACGCGCGATTAATCCTGACGAACGAAAAACAGCAGAGACGCGAATTGGCGCTATTATAAGAGGTCCGATTGTTGACGAATTCCCGCGTCCCGTCGGCTGTAAACATTATAACTTTTGGCAACGAACTTTTGGCTTCCTTCGCGAGAAAGCGCGGTTATACTGGTTCGTTCGAACGGCAAAAAATACAGCCTCAACTGCGGATATTGACATCTTCCCCGAAAACGAAGAAGCGCGCCGCTCGCCATGAATTTCGCGTCGGATTTGCACCGCGGTGCGAATCCGCTGCGGTTCGCGGTGATATTTTTTATCTGCCGTGTTGATTGACGTAAAATCAGAAAAATCGCTTTAAAATCTGATCGAAGGTATTCGTTACGAATTAATGCGCAACGATATCCATAACAATATCCGCGCGAATATTCGTTGCGGATTCGTGTAATTAATCAAATACGCACGATACCACGCTGTCATTATCCACTCTATCATAAATTTTATTAATACAATTAATAAAAGATAAGCGCGCATACGAATACGTGTATATAAAATTCGTGAGGTATGAATTTTGCATATCGATGCCTTCGTAATTACGCACGCATCGAGTGCGCTACATTTCGTCGATGTGCGTACATCTTCCATTATTAATTATGCTTTTATAATCTCGCGGAAAACACGTAAAATTTATCGGCGATTCGCTCCCCCCCTCCAGCCCTCCCGACGTTCCCTCGGCGACGACGTTCGAGGCAAGCTCTCGACAACTCCGCCTCGTCGGTCGTTTGCAAGTCGAGACAATGTATCCGATGATCGTTAAAGGACAACAAAGGGGAGGCGGGGAAGCCGCGATGGTCGATTCGACGGAACAATTACAAAAGTTTCGTTTACTCGGTCGCCCTATGGAGACCGCATCCCCGAGAGCTATCGCTAAGTAGGTCGATAGTGATAAATTCGATCTGTCCTCCGTATGGGAAGCGGCCGCGGAAATTCCGTCGGTTATCTGGCCACCATTGGTTATCTGTCAGATAATCTAGCCGCGCATAAATCGCGCTGGCCCATTCTCGCTTAATGGCCGCGCCGCGCGCGCAACACCCTAGGAAACAAATTAAGTAGCCCAGTGACTGCTCGCGCGTCCGTTCTCCTTACTTCTCCCTTCGTCATCTCGTTCTTTTCCTGCGTCATTCCATGACGCATCCGCCGAGGAAACGAGCCGGAACGGGCTCTAGGCGACACATAAACCCCTCTCGGTTGCCGAATGACGCAACTTGGGTCCGACTTACTTGGGTCGTAGGCTGAACTTGAAGTGCGCTTTAGCCGGAGGAACGAGATCCATTCGACGAAGAAATAGAAGAGCGAGCTCTTATCGGTCGTCTCAATTCTTATATTAATCGTTAAGAATTATAATCTTATCATTTGTTATCACCAGTTACACGCGCCCAGGAAAACGCGTATAGGACACCCTGGCAGAAAGTGTCTAAAGGGAAGCCTTGAGCAAATTTTGAATCAATTTCTTGCCGGTGGAAACTTTCGAGGAAGTTTAATTGACGGAGATACTTTCTACCGAAAGCGATCTTCGTCAATCAGGCTTCGTGTCTGGCATGCAAATGAATGATGTAACTTTATTTCTGATTATATTCCCATCGGCTCGCTTCCACGAAGGAATATATCTGGAGTTTACTGTTCTCGCGTAGTCTGCTCCACTTTCGCACGTCGATGATTTCCGTCGTAGATTCCGCCGTCGTATAATCTTAATTTCACGCGAAGGGCGCAGTAAAAATCGACTCACGTCGCTAATCGGTTCACATAATTCGCGCTTCTTTCCTCTCGAGATTCCCGAGAGCGACGTCGTCACGACGAGATTCTAGACGGCGAATCGATACTCGACCCACCGTTTGCTATTTAAAGTTTCCTCTCGCCGGGAATCTTCGGGACGGTGCGACACTCTTTGGAAAAATCCGAGCACGTTAAGCACGTAAAACGACGAACATCAGCGGCGGAAGACATATTTTATAGTTAGTAAATTCTATGGTAATGACGTCGCGCTTCTTCGTGTCGAGCGCGGAAGCTTGAAATTTATTCATACTAAGTAGATAACAGGATTTCGCGGTGCTCTCTACTGCTAAGAAGATAGCGCGACGTCGTTGGAACTTTGCTAGATGCACTATTGAATTGCCACTCAATATTGCGCTATTAATAAGCGAAATCTCGGCAAGTTCGATTTTCCGATATTCATCCATAAATGGAACCCGCGAACGAGATTTAATCGCGATCGATTTGCGCTAGGATTGTCCGTTATGGAAACGAGTTATTTCGATCGCCGCTGCTCTACATTTCGACGCGGACGGATCCCGCCGCCATAGCCCGAAAGCCACGTCTTACCTCATCATCAATAGACGCCGCGGTAATACGCACATCCGATCTGTGTTTGCGCATTGTTATTTCCAATGAGTAATCTCATTGGTAAATCGAGACATATTTTTCGGCAGCTCCGGGAGGCCCGCGCGCGCGCTTCGCAATCTTCCGAGTAACTTTGTCGCTATAGAAAATGTAGTTCCTCCGGGAAGCAGCCGATATCTCCCCCGCTGCTTAACGGATTTTCCTCGAAGCGAGGACACTTATCCACGATACTTCCTGCCCCGATATACGACTTCGATCGAGGCCATAAGTTTCCCTTAGCTGCAGGTGTGCCCGAACGGTCCCCGCACCGCGGCTGTAATTTGTGAAATAAATGTACGAGCTTGAGTAGTTTTCTCTCTCTCTCTCTCTCTCTCTCTCTCTCTCTTCTCCTAAACTGGCGCCTCGTGCTTGCGAGCTCTTTCCGACTTCCACGCGCGATTTAGACCCGATTCGATTTAATGCTTCTTCCGGGTGTATACACGATGCCCGCGAATCGAGGAGCGCACAGTCGCGAGAGCAGTGGCGTAACGCGGCTCAAGGGTCAGGGGTCGATTCGTTACCATCAGCGGGAAATAATCTCTCCATTGTTTACTCCGCAGCGACGACGCTTCATTTCAGCTGTGCGCACAAAGAGCTATATTCTCGTACTCTTTTGCTCCTTTAGCAATACCGCGAGCATGGGCTTCTTACAATTTCTTACAACGATCGTTGTTTTTCATCGGTTCGTTCCCCGGTGTTTTCGGGTCAAAGGCCACTGTTACAGTGATCCCAGATCACATCGTCGCCGGGCTCTATTATAAGATCGAGGAACGCAAACAGACGCGAGCGAGAGAACGACGTGTCTGTCCCTTTACGCCACTGGCCGCGATCTCAAGTGTTAACCTCGCCATTCGAATTCAGCGGGCCGCGAAACTTCGCAAGGCTAATCGCGCGAATAGCATTTCGCCGCCCCCCGTCCTCTCGTTCCCTGTTTCTCTCCGACATTTTCTCGCTGATC